AGTACTAGCATGAATGAGGAATTTTATCTTAGTGTGTCAGGGAGAGTTCATCATCTGTTCCTCAGTATGGAGGGGCTCTGTGCCAGTGGGGAAAAAACTCTGCAGTGCCAAACCAGGGCTTCAATGGGCTCTATGACAGGCTGCAACAGTGTTCATTCTTCAGACCATATTAATGGTTATGACACATCTCATAAGTTGTAAAACTCTTCTTATATCTATCCATGCTATTATTCAAAGTTACTAGGCCTTACTGTTCCATGTATGCCTTCTTTGTCCCTCAGTATGTCATGTTTCTTTTTTAGTCTCTGGTTGTCTGATGCCATAACACATGTACCAGCTGTATTCCTTCTTGGCATGCTGGTTAACGTGCCTCTGGACACCTTTGTATATCTCACTGTGCATGAAGGAAATCAAATGAAGTACAGAGGGAACCCTGAGAATCTGGAGGGTAGGTCTGCCATCCAGCAGGACCTCAGTAAGGGAGGGGAAAGCACAAGTAGAAAAGCTCCTAAAGTTTAACCCAGATGAATGTGAAGACTTCCTCTGAAAAGTAACAACCCTGTGCAGCTGTGCACAGGTGGACAGGGACCTTTGCAACCTGGTGACCAGCAAATGGCCCTTGGTGAGCAGTGAAAAGTGGCAGTGTCCGGTAGCATTAGTCACTGTGGTGTGTGTGCTCTCCTGGCCTGAGGCTGCCCTCAACAGTCCCTCTGAGGCTGTGTCTGAACCCATCTGTGAGTAGTTATTTTGCATCTGAAGGGTGATCCCAAGGTGTAACTGCTGTGGGAGGAAAGGGAGGCAGAGGAAGAGACAAAGCAGACTGAACAGGTGAGCAAGTGTAATATCTTTTGTGGTACACCTGCATTTTAATTTGCCTTTGCATTATGACACTACAGGTCATAATCTATCCTTTGATTAATGTCTACTGTCCTTTTTGCTATCTGTCACCTGATAGGCTCTGGCATAAAGGAGGAGACAATCCTGTAAATCATCAGGTTCATATTCTTATCTTGCACTTATGTATCTCATTTCCACGTTTTCACACTCAGTAGTACTTTTTTTATTTTTTCCAAGCTGTCTTTAAGGTGTAGTGGATGTTGGCTGAAAGGATGTCATCTCTAATGAAGTCTAAGTTGTGCATTAATGAGCTGTTCTACATAGAATATGTGCAAGTAAGAGAGCTGTGTCTTTCTAAGATTTGAGGACAAGACTTCAGCAGTAATGCCATTGAAACTGCAGTGGTAAAAATCCATTCTTTCCATTTCATGAGTCCAAATATATGAATGTATTCAAGAGCCCCAGAATGAATAGCAATTGATTTTGTGACTTGCTCCTTTTCTTCTGAAAGTATATTCAAGAAATGAATCGAAGCTTTTCTCAATAAAAGAAAAAAAAATAAACGCACACTATTGGAAAATACTTTATTATTGGGCTTTTATTATTCTGAATGTTTTTTTATAGTGATGTATTATTTCTAGAATTAACAATTACTAGTTACTTGCCCATGGCACCTTTGACCTCTCCAGTTTGTTGTTTTTCAGCATCTGATTTAGAGTGACTACTGATTCCAGCCTCCTCGTTTTCAGGAACACAATCTGAAAATGCAAGCCAGAATATGATGAACGAATGAGCAAAACACTAAAGGCAGAGTGTGGCTTCAATGGCAGCTAGATTTTGTTTGAAGAGGAGCTGACTTTAAAAGCACTGGGCAAGGAGGGCCTGCAGACCTCTCTCCGTGGCCACAACGTGTGTGGTACTCTGGTCAGCAGTGTGTAGTGCATTACTCCAGGATAAATTGTTTCCTTAGCTCGTGTCTGCAGCTTCTGGTCTAAGAGTCCCCCATTCTTTTTTTAGGGGAGAGTTTATCCATCATCATTCTGTTTGATTCCTGGGATTCTTAAAGTACCTTAACCTGCAAAGAAGTCTTTCACTGGTCACTTAAAGGGAGTGTGGTGATGGAAGTCAGAGTTCAGCTGTCCTTTGTGTATGCTGATCTGGGTAACTGATGACATTATCCTCATTTTAAAAGGCTGCAAAGTCAGGAGGTCTTGAGTTTTCTTCCATCATCTCCTGTATTCCTCCTGTACTGAAGCTGTGCAGGAAGCTGCATCTAGCAAACTGAACTATGGTTTAGGGGGTGGTGGAGGAGAGAAGTCACAGCAGAGGAATGAAGCACATTCCTGAGAGTCCTCATTACAGAGCATGAAGAGTATGGAGATGGCTCATTTATGAAAGCTGTCCTCCTCCCTTAAGCAGCTGTTCTGGTTTTGTGCGTTGCCATGCAGTATTGGAACATCTTAGGAAGCCACAGATGTTTGACTCATGCACTGGACCTGATTTGATCCTTATTCCTGGTGCTGGAGCCTTCTGGCTGAGATCACTGTGACGCAAACCTTGCTCCCAGCTCCCACCTCACTGAGGAGCAAGTTTTGTTACATGTCAGGTCTGGCACTTGGTCCTCAGCTGTTTCGCCTCCACTTCCTGTGTTTATAGCTGGACAGTGGGTCTTGGCTGTGGACATGACATTTACTCAGAATTATGACAGTTTTCTCTGAACTTTAATACTTCAAAAAGTATTAAATTAAGAAAAGCAAGAATAGCATTAACATAGCACAGCTCAGAACAGCTGTTTTTCATGTATTGCTAGCCCATGTGAAAACATGAAGACCATTTTTGTGACTAGGTGGTACATAATTGGATGTATATATCTATATTATGATAGTCTGAGGGCATCCTCTCCATTGTTTTTGTGCTTGTAATCCAGTATTGGACTAATACCTGTGAATATGTTCGCATGATAATAAGTTCTACTAGTTTTTATGTGGAAACAGTGAAAGTAGTCGTTTATATGCAAAGAAGCATGGAATTAAAGTGGGGTTTGGCTGGAACTCCACAGCTGTTTGGTCCATATCCAGCTGTAGGGCCCACATATGCCATCCCTGCATCACATGGCAGTGGTGGGAAATAGGCCAGAGAACCAGCAAGGTGCCTCAAGGAGCTGTGGCATTTCAGAGATGTGCAATGAATTGGGTGGTAGTGGGGTCTCTCCTTTATCCTATGATACCTTTATTTGCTTTGCTTTATACTTCTTTTTGCTTGATCTACTCTTCAGTGTTTCAGTTTTTTGGTGTTCTGCTGTTACTTATTCCAGTTGAGCTTATTCTGTCTAAAAAATTGCCTCTTGGAATAGAGGTTTAATTACTGAACAGATGTGTTGTTTTCATTCTGCCTGCTCTAACTGCCTTTATCTCTGTTCTTCATTTTGAATCTTAGACTTTTAGCTCATTAAGTCCTGTGGAGCTAGAACTCTTTGCTAAAGACACTAAAAAAATAATACTCTTATCAGATCTTGCTGCAGTTCTGTAAACAAGCTACTTAATCGTGCTTTTATGTTAATGCCAAAGAAACAAATAAAAATTTGTTGCACTGTGATTATAAACAAACTAATACAAAATTACAATCTAAATATTGAGATACTTTTCCTTCCTTTGGGTTTTGTTTTTTTAATTCTCTTTAATGCGTTCTGAAACAAGATTAACTAGAGACTTAAATGAAAATGAGTCCGTTATGGAAGAAAATAAAGTAAAAGAGAAATTGATGTTGCCTGAAATCCTTCATGGTCTGAAGTTAGCAAAGAGGGAGAAGCCAAAATGTAGCTGCAGAGATTGCTTGGACACAAAACCTAGGACATAACAGTGGGAATGCACTGAGGTTCAAGAACTGGAATGCAGCTATGTGTAGTGAAATCTGCAAAAGCTGGGAATGTCATGCTCAGTGTTTGAGATCTGCAAGCAATTGGCAGCATTTTTCTTATAAAGAGACTGCTTTTCCTGAGCTTGAGACCTGATCCAGTCTTTTTTTTTTTTGTGTGTTCTTGGCTTGTACTCATGTGAACTAGAATGCAATTAGCAAGAGACAGTAAATCTGCGGTTGTGTGTAGTCTCTCCTCAGTGGTATAAACTTGGCTTAAGAAATTCCTGCTCCAGATCATTCTTCCCTGCCTGTATAACTTTTTCCAGGAAGAGCTGGGTTTTTTTTTTGTAGGACTGAAATGTGAAATGTCTGATCCAATTTTCCAAAAAGCATTACAGAAAACTTCCTATTACTTTTTTTTCCCCGAGGCGGGCTACTACTGGTAAACAGTGTGGCTCCATGAACAGTTATGCTGGAATGACTGAAAGAATGAGCACCCTGTGGTGGCAGCAAGGGCACTCCTTGCCAGAAATGAGTCCATTCAGCTCTCAAGGCAATAGCCTGACGAGGCAGCAGTGTTCATAGACCCTGAATAAAGTGTCATCCATCCTCAGTCTTCTGTTTATTCAGGTAGCAATAAGGAAGGAAGTGTCCAAAGAAACATGAGCTTTCAAGAAAAAAAAAAAAAAAAAGAAAAAAAAAGGCTGTGCTTTAGCAGTGCTCCATGAAAGCAGCTTTTACTGGCAAGTTGCATTTGACTGGCCTGGAAGATTTGACCTGGGTAGATTATAGGTAAATGATCTAATCGAGTGTGCCATCCAAACTCCCTGCAGGTTAATTGACACATGGCAAGTGCTGTATTTTTTTCCTAATCTCATTGCAAGGTTATTAATGAAATAGCTGCACCATTTGCAGGTTTGAGCCAGGAGGTCACCAAAAGAGTTAAGAAGATTCCCCTTGACTTTCAGTTTCTTTCCTTTGTTGCTAGCTTCAAATATATAGACTATCGTCTATACAAGAACAGAAGAAACCTATTTTGGTGTGACAAATATTAGGATTGATAAAATTTGATCTCATATCTTTATCAATAGACCATGTTTTAACAGTGATATAGTTTTTCTTCTTTTTACCGTCAAATTTTCTGCAATTCTTGTGGTTCTTTAAAATCTATGTTGTTTTACAGCTGAAATTTAAGTAAGACTGTGATGGCAATAAATGAGTTAGATGAGTGTGTGTCTGCCCCTTCTCCCCAGTCTCAGAGTATTTTTGTGTAGAATTTTAAAGGAAAACCTCTTTTATGCACGCAGGGCAACTTTAGAAGAAGTAGAAGGAGATGTGACAGAGCTGGAACTGAAACTTGACAAGGTAAGCTTTTAATTCAGCGTTTGTTCTTAAAAACATCAAAAAGTGTGTTTCGGTTTTGTTTTAAAGTTCACAGCTGGGAAGTGTCAGTGGCTGACCAAGCACCGTGCTCTGCAGAGGGAAGGGATCCAGGTCGAGCTCACAGCTGGGCCTCCAGGCCAAGCTGGAGCAAAGCAGCAGCAGGCAGCTGAAATTGCTGCATGAACTCGCTCCTTCCCCGGCCGAGACTTGTGCAATTCCCTCCTGACCTGGCCCCTCTCTGCGCCCCTGAGACTCAGCCCGGGGGGAGCTGCTGCAAACTCCTTCAGCTTTCACGGGACATCAAAGCCGGGGCTCGGTCACTGCTGCACCGAGAGCCCGTTTGACCACAACGGCATGCTGCTGGATACTCTTTGTTTCACAGGTTTAAAATCTGTGCTGTTTGGAGTTAGTAATCTGAGGTACAGCAACCAGGTGTATGTATATCCTTCACTATTGTGTGGAGGACCTGACTACTGTAAAATTCATCCTGTGTTTTGTCATGCTTTGTGCATGTATATAAAAAATTACATGTAGCATCTTTTCAGCTCTATCTGTTTATTAGTTTCCTCACCTTTGGAAACTTTTGTTATTTCTTTGCTAGTATTTTGAGAGTGGTTTATTTTTGGTTTTCATCTGTATAAAGTCTTCTTTTCTTTGCATTTGTGCTAAATGATTTAAATTATTTTTATCTGTGTTTTCACATGGCAGGCAGATGTCATTTGTTTACCTCCTTAACTGCTTTTTGAATACAGCCATTTTTTCCTGCAGCTGTGAGTTGACTGCAGAAAGCTGGAAACAAATAAAGATGGTGTCAAGCCTGAAGACTTATTTCTAGTTTTATGTAGTTAATAATCAAACAGTTTGTTCTTGCAAAATAAATTCAAGATCCTTCATTTCGATTTGTTGTGAATCTTAGTGAAACTGGTGGGTACAGCCCACGGTTTTACTGTAGGAGTGTTGAATCTGTTTTGGTAGATCAAAGAGTGTAAGTATTTGAAGGATCTGAAAAATCAGTCTTGGAAGTGTGGCTTTTCCACCAGCCTTAAAGGATTGTTTTTGGGGAAAACAATTCTCGTATTCCTTAAATGGCATTATTCAGGGCCTTGTAGTACAATACTGAAGTTGAAAGCCAAGCTTCTTGGGTGAGCTGAAGCAACTATGGCCTGAGGGTAATAATTTGGCTAGGCTTGGTTGGTAATTTTTCTGCTCCGTTGTTCATACTAAACTTGATTTTATTGTCTCACAATTTTGACTTTGGGCTACATTGTCTGCAGTTTTGTCCTCTCTGGAAGAAAGAAGGTCTGGTTCAGGCTTGTGAACTATAAGCAAAGGTGAAGGAAAAAGGTTAATGTTGATAGTGATTTTTTTTTTTCTGTCCATTGTTCAAGCAACTTGGACATTCATCAGAATGTGGAGGATCACTCTCAGCTTTCCATTTTTCCTAAGGATCTGAGTCGACATAAAAATTACTGGGTGACTAAGGCAGGAAGGATGCTTGGGTAGTTTCTTTGCCCTAACATAGGATCAAGTACTTCTGTGTTGCTTTTCATGAAAATTTATTTACCATCCTTGAAAAATCTTTCAGAGACGAAGGTTCAATCTTCTGTTTTTATTCTCAGCTTGGCTTGGGGTGAGGGAGCTCAGTTCTAATGCACCCCTTCTCAAGGGAGCATCTTGAGAAGGGTAATTGCAGTAACCACTCTTCCTTACATTAATGGCCCAGTGCATAAATGGTTCAAGAAGTGAGAAAGCATCCCTCACAAGATACTGAGGACCTTCCTATCAGACTGGAGTACCATGAGGGCTGAAGTGCTGTCTGAAGCAGTGAGTGGTGGGGATGGAAAACTGTCAGAGATTAGTTGTCTTTGAGTGAAAACATTGATTTCACCTCCTGAGATGTAACCATGGCTCTTCAGCTGTGCTTTGTGCACAGAGCCTTTTGCTTTCCTGTGCCTGTATTCTGAGTGTCTCAGGATGAAACAACTGGTGTGGGTTTCTTTTTTGTTTGTTTTGTGGTGTTTTTCCTCAGAAACCACAATAACCTCATTATTTGCTTGCATTCTAACCAATTATGTTTTAGTTGCTGTACTTTTGGCCCCTGTAAAACTCTCTTGAAATATGTGCAACATCTCAGTTAACAATGTATGAAGTAAAAACTAATTAAAAAAATTATAGAGTGGTAGAGTGGTAACTTTCCCAACAGCATATCTATTGACCTAGAGTAGTATTTTTATAACTGTTATTATAGAGTAGAAAGCTTTTCATAGAATCTGAGGGTGAGAACTTAACTTTTGAAATTTTTATTTCATACCTTTAACTAAGCTCAGTGTGTTCATGTTTATATGGTGGTGTAAAAACCAAATAAAAATAAGCCTTCTGCTTTCTCTCTCCTTTTATACTCATTTTAGCTGGTGAAGCTTTGTATTGCAATGATTGATACTGGGAAAGCATTTTGCACAGCCAACAAGCAGTTCATGAATGGAATTCGAGATCTTGCACAATATTCCTGTAAAGACACATTGGTTGAGGTGAGTTCTTTGAGGTGAAAGTAGAGGGAGAGAAACATAACTTAAAGAAGGTACATTGTAACAGATGGCAAGAGAAGTAGTTGGAGTTTATAGTATTATTTGCCTTTTTGCTTCTTTTTCTTTGATACCTCGTTTGGAGTGAGGGTTTTTCCAGCTGTGGTGCACTGCAGGTGTCTGTGCTGTTTAGGTTCAGCACTGACAGGGGTCTGCCAAATTTCAAGAAATGTGTTAGATTAGTGACTGCAACATGTTAACCAGTTTTTTTGAATAAGAGTATTAAATGTGAACGATATTAATTAGTGTAATATTAAATACTGTAAATTAATGTTTTAAATTATGTGAGCTTCCCATATCTTTAGTAAATTTTAATTTTTCCTGCTTTCCTTCAGTTTGGTACTTTATATACCGGTAGGTAGAAGTAACATTTTTGTTGCTTGCATGTTTAATAGATTTATTTGATACTGCAGCCATGTTCTCCTTCTGGCCTAATGGTTTTAGTCTCATAATCGTGCTGCAAGGAACACGAATTTCTTAGTTTTTACTGAAAAGCTGCAAACCTCTGAACTGTTTCTTTTGCGGTGCATGTTTAATCGAGCTTAACTTAAACCACTCTTATTTTCTCTTTACAGACCAATTTGACGAAGTTCTCTGACACCTTACAGGAAATGATCAATTATCATAATGTGAGTATTTCTAGCTGCAACATGGCACTGATAGCTAAATTCCAGTTATATTTGATAATAGACTAATGGTAAAGCCTTTCTTGTTGATAGTGTTTGCAAAGTAATGGTTTGAATGGTGTTAAATAACTCTTGTTTTATACTTACAAATATTTTATTAATGTTTTGTTTACAAATTATTTATAAATATCCCCTTTTTTTGCAGATTTCCATCTTGGTTTATTTTGTAAGCTTTGGTGCTCTAAGACAGTAGATACTGAATAGTTTAATCTTTTTGAATCAAACTGATGGTAACAGTTGCAGACTATGAGCTTTACTGGTCTGAAATAATGATTGTCCTTTCCATAACTGCTACTTTTACTCTTGTCCTTTATCATACACAAAATGAGGCACCTCTGATGTGCATATAGTTTTCTTTTTGGAAGGATAGTAAATTTGGACAAGGGTGAAGTAAGGAGAAAACGTAGGATTTAAGACTAATTGTCATTTTTAGCATGTCAGAGTTCATCAGAAACTTCAGTTTCACTTTTCCCTGGGTTGAAAATTAATTTGTTATTTTTTTCTCTAAAGAGTTTGGTCTTCTATTCTGAAAGCCAAAAGGATGTGTTTGTTCTTCTGTTTTCTTCTTTCATTGGCCCAACTGCTCTTTGTTAATTTCCCAGCAAATTGCTGGAAACAAACTGAAGTGTTTCCAAAGAGCTGAAAATATGCAGGACACTTAAAATGTGCGTTTTTCATACCACTGGGAGTTTAAAAATTGACAAGATAGAGAGAATGCAATGGAAGTTTGTTAGCTTTAACTTAGCTTTCTAAAAGTGTCTGATTAGGATTTTTTTTTAAGTGCATGCTTTTAGAATGGAAGAGGAACAAAGCAGGTTAATAGCATTGTGTTTGATTTTCTTTCCATTATACGAAGTGTACATATCTGCACCTAATCTAATGAAAACTGTAAAGAAGGGAATAAGTGAACAGTGGCTCTTGGGTTGTAGAGAGAAAGGAGTGCAAAGGTTCAAAGCAGCATTACTGGAGCAAGCATTACTTTCATGTCAATGATTTCTGCAGATTAGATGGAACAGATGAACCTAGGCTGTCCCTCTTCATCACACATCTTGCTGCTGGTTACCATCTAAACCATGTCTTTTATCTGTGGTTTCCTCTTTTGGACCCCTCTGATGGGTCCTGTATTATTGCTGCTGTTATTGTATATGATCATCGCTTGCACTGCTTTGGTAAAATTTGGCATAGCACAACTCTCCCTTTTGGGCAGTTTGAAGGCAGAAAGCAAAGAACAAACCATATTAAAGATTATTCCTTTTCAGTTCTAAGTAGGATCAATCTGAGTTCTGTCCTGCTTTGTTTTTCTTCCTCCATTCCCTTGCTGTGCTCAGGGATAGTGAGAACAAAGTGGCTTTTACCAAAGGCACAAACATCAGGAGTGAGGCACAATTGCTTTGCCAGACATGTTGTGGTCCTGTGCTGCTTCTTGTCAATCTGCTTAGTTCAACAGGGCTTCCTGGCTCAGAGTGACAGGTCTGTTGCTGAGTGAGGTGACATAGCCATCTGGAGGGAGAAGCTAGAAAGAGGAAAGAAAGGATGGAAGGGTAGGAGATGCTCCCACTGAGTTCTGGATGACTGTCAGTTTTTCATGTAAGGCTTTGCTACAAATAAGGCCAGGGACCAGACTAATGCAGCACCTTCACTGATTCAGCAGTGGGGGAGTAGCTGTGGCAGCTTATGGCAAATAGCAGCTTTCTTAGACTTGGAGTAAATGAAAGGTAGTATGTGACAAGGCTGTAAATCTAATCAGATTGTCGTCTAGGCACTTCTTTCTGTTCTTTCAGGGGAAACTATGTCTATGTATTTTTCTGCCCAGCACATTTTTTCTCTTTATTACTATAAGCAGAATGCAAGGCTTATATTTCTGAGAGTCCTCTAATCATTTGAGTTCCCATCTGGTTTTATCTTTTGGTATTGATCTTGGTTGGTGCACTCCCCAGGCACTGGCAAGCTTAAATGTCAGCAGTGGGAGTAGTCTCAGTGTGACTTCCAGTTTGTCAAGAAGTTCTTTATTCTAGTTGTCTGCTTTTCTGGTTTCCCGAAGTGGGAATACAAACAGGTTCTTCCATTTGTTACTGGTAGATACAATTCTGGTTGGAAGGTGCCTTAGGAAGTATGGATGGTTTGACTGCTTGCCTAAATCAGGGTCAGGTATGAGGCTGGAGCAGGTTGCTATGGTCTTAAAAACCTGCAAGGAAGGTACAGTACCACTGCTAATGAGTGGCTTAAACTCAGTCATGTTTCCCTTCTGTGTGTCTGAAAAGAGTGATGAGCTGGTGAAGGTTTTGCTGTCAGTCTTTGACATTACATAGCTTCTCATTTCCAAATCTTAATAAAGAATCTAAGATTGAGAACATTTAAAGAAAACATTTTTTCATCTTAAACTTTCAGGTTTTGACTTGCTTTTTCAGGAAAATTATTTAATATTTCAAGATCTTTACCTTTTATGAGAGATTCTCTTCAACTGGGTCAACTTTATTTTTGTGATGCTGCCTTGTGTATTTCTGTTATGCAGAACAGGAGCTGTAGAGGGGTTGGAAATTGAGGCAACATTTATTTTCTGCACAATAAGAAGTGACAAAAGGATTTGTCCTGTAGCAATTGACCTGTTCCATTCCATCCTAAAACTCAGAGGGCAGATGTGAAGCTGAAGGAATGTGTGTTTTCATTTTCCAGTTAGAAATTTTTGGGTCATAAGGGAACATACACATGATCTCACATCCAGGTGTGCTTTGGCCTTAGAAAATTAACAAACATCTTGCACTTGACAATTCGAATGAGTTGATTATATTTTGTGCCCTCCAGCCGCCCCAAATCATAAGAAATTTTGGAAGCATTGCTTAGGTCACTTATTCTTAAAATGAATCAGCCATTCTTTTAGTAGTCCAACAGTGGGTGTTTTTTTACAAACGTATTATGTAAAGGAGATGGTACTAAATACTCATGCATGTTGCATTTTCAGCATTAATTTCAACCCAGGTGGGGTTTTTCCCAGAAGTTAAGAGTGTGTTCTTTCTGTAGTTTCATTTGTCTTTTAATTGTTGATAAACTGTGAAAGTCTAAGAACCAAAAAGATTGTTCCTTAACATTCAAAGTTATTTCTTCAGGAATATAACTGTACATTTAACATAAATTTATTTTATGAAACTTCTTCTATGAATTGTCTCATATTGTCAGGATGAGAGAATAAGATGCCAGGAGCTCTTATCTCTCCTTTAAACCACAATCTCTAAGAAAAGAACAGCAAAAGATGTTTGGTTTGTGTTATTTTCTTCCTTATCTTTTATTTATTTCAAAACTACCATGAAGTGATTTATATTTTGATATTAGAGACATGGTGGTTTAATAATAATTATCATCAAATTCTATGTAGTTGCCATTTGTATTTCTGAAATCAGAAGGTATGAGTACCTCTAAGTTACTGACCTACATTATAATGCTTTCTTTCAGATTCTGTTTGACCAAATCCAAAGATCAATTAAAACACAGCTTCAGACTTTCGTTAAAGAGTAAGTTCATTTGTACTTGTAATGGGAAAATTATATATAAAATGGAATTTTAAAAATTTTGAGTAAGTGAAATATCTTTCCTATAAATAGCCACCCATAAATTGAGAAGTGTGTATTAAGGCTTTGTAAAAAGTCACCCCAAATCACTGAGGCTTTAGATCCAGCTGCAGAAATGTTGCAATAGGATGAATTGCTGATCTAATTACATACTGTAATTGTCTAAGCCTGGGGGACAAAGCTTTTCCCCAGTAGGCATTAGATGTGTTCAGTTACATTTCAATTCTGTCCTTCCCTTGGAAAAGAAAGGTAGGAAGCTTCTGTTGTAATTTGTGGATTTCCCTTTGACCCAAGCATGTATTGAAGAATATAAAATTTGAAGACACTAGCTATAGCAGTCACAAGCTTGGTCTGTCTGGTGTAGCTTTAAACTCGTTTTCATGCTTTGGAATGAATTTGTTTTCCATATTTCTTTTTTCCATAGAGATATTAGGAAATTCAAAGATGCAAAGAAGCAGTTTGAAAAAGTGAGTGAAGAAAAGGAGAATGCTCTGGTGAAAAATGCCCAAGTTCAAAGAAATAAACAACACGAGGTGGAGGAAGCAACCAACATTTTGACTGCAACGCGGAAGTGTTTTCGACACATAGCTCTGGATTATGTTCTGCAGGTAAGGACAGCAATAAAAGTTACCTTTCAGAACCATTTATTACATATGATTAGAGACATGTCCTTGTCAATGTTAGAAGTTCTTTTTGTAAGCTTCTTGGAAGCTGTGGAGATTCAGGGAAAAAGGAAGAACTTTATCTGCAAGTAATTTCTTTTTTAATAGAGTCTGCGTAAAATTAATTGATGCATTATTATTGCTTTAATGCTCTGGTATTCAGTGCCTTTGCTTCAATGACAGTTTAATTTTCAAGTTGAGCATTAATTTTGAAAAAAAACCCAGTATTTGCTTGATACTTAACCTAAATATTTAATGAGTTAGATATGCTGCAGTATCTTATATATTTAGAGTAAAAACTGTAATCTAGCCTAGGAAATACAAATTACTTGAATCTGATACAGGATGTTGGATACTTCTGCAATTTTAGTTGTATGCTTTGGGTTGTATTCAAACATTGTATTGTATTTTGGGTTCTCTAGATGCCTCTGAGTTTGGCATTGTGCTCTAAGGGGAGTCAAGAACTTAGCTATCCTTTACCTTCTTAATGAATATCTTGCATAGGGTGTTGAGAGATGTTCTTTGTCATGCTGCTTTGTATCCTGTAATACTGTAATACATTTTCTTTTGATACTTAAAATCCATCTGCTTCATACTTACCCACAACTACAGCAAAACAGCATTATTGCAATTCAGATGGTATGAGAGGCTGGGGGCTCCAAACGGATCTGAGCTTTTCCTATGATCAAACACAGAACAGCTCTTTACAATGAAGCTGATTTTATATTGGACGTTATCATCTAGATTTGTGACAGTCCAGTCAGTTATTTAAAGCTTAATTAACTTTTCTATAAATTGTATTATGAGTTGTAAAATGAAGAGGAGCCTGTCAGCCTGGGCATGTTCACAGACATGGTGTTCAGTGGTCAACTCTGAACTCCTGCTTTTTAAACACTGAGGTAAAAGTCACTACTGCAGTAGGTCAGTTCCTTGTGTGCATCCAACTGCAGGTTGTTTTCCTCCTGGAATCTGTATGTTCAAAGTATGAGCAGTTCCTGGGATAAAGGTGCATTTAGAGTAACTGGGAACAGCTTCAGCATCTCTCAACGTGGACAAAAATCAATTCAGCTTTAGGAATTCTTTTTACTTGCGTGATTCTTGTGGGAAAATGGCTTCACAACCGTGGTCTCCTTGTAGCTAGATTGGCTTTAAACTGTAATTCAAAACCTTTGTTTTCCTTTTATTTTTCTTTGCCCCACAGGCTGGGGGTTTATTCTATACAAACAAATCTTAATTATTTTTGCTGCAGAAAGTTTTCCAAAATAATGACCACTTAAGTATGGAAGTAGAATCTGGTTTTGATTATAGCTTCAGCAAGTTTATTTATTTTGCTAAAATTCTGAACTGACATAGAGGTGTTAAATTACAAAATCATGCCTGTTTCTGCTAAGTGGGCCTTTTAAAGTCAAATCCGTAGTTCTGGATGGCAATCTTTAAAGATTAGGGAACAAAGAAGATAGGGGAACTAGGTGAATGTGAAAAGTCAGTTGTTTTTTCTATATAATGTGAAATTCCTCAAATTCCAGGGCAGCACCGTTAACCAATGACTTCAGCTATCTTAAAAGCGCAGGTATACACAGAAAGTTACTTATTGAAACTGTTATGTTCTTGCTTGCCTGGGACTACTTTTGGGATACTTAAATCCTCTGAGTGAGACAAAAAGTAACCCTGCCCCCATCCTTCTCTCTGCCCTGGCAGCCGTGCTGAGTGCAACTTCTGCAAGGAGTTGGTGGGCTGGCTTAGCTCACACTGCTTGAAACAGCTTGAATTCAGTTTCTTGAAAATGAGAACCAATTTTCCTTTCTTGAAAGGTGCATTACATTACTTCTATCTAGCACATGGTATCTTGTGTTTTCTCTACTGATATAAGAAAATTGTGACTATCACTGCGAAGCTCAAGCTTTGCAAGTGTTCTCTGATTGCATCACTTTGATATCACAACAGAACTAGAGTGCATCTTCTTTTAAAAGTACTTTGGGAAGTCTGATATTGAGCTGTCATCTTCCAGTGTTTTAAGCTTGGATGTGATTATTTGGGGGGAAATTGTAAATAAAATAAGAAGTTTAAAATAAAATAAATTTATTATTTATTCTTTTTTCCCAGATCAACGTTCTTCAATCTAAAAGGAGAGCAGAAATCTTAAAATCGGTAAGATATATTTTATCCTCTGTATATCAAATATTTTAATACACCTGAAATTAAAAATATGACCACAAAACAGTATGTTAAAATTTTGGGCCTTTTATTGATCAGTACATTTGGCACTTTGGTTACTGTTAGTTTGGCCTTTACTGTAGCTGGGCATACATGTTTAACATGTATTTGATAATCCTTCTGGTTCAGATTTGAACACTTACAGGTTTTCACTACTCTTGATCCTTTGGTATGTGTTTCACAGTTAAAATCAAACTTTGTTTGCCAAGAATTCTATTTAGGTCTGGTTTATTACTTTGTAAACAGTAAGTGCTACTTACAATAATTCTAAGATAAATTCTGCTCTTTCTAAGAACAGGCAAATTTTAATATGAATAATATGGTATCTGATAAATTAATATAAAGCTATGCCTGCATGCCAATTTTCTCCACATTGTATTCCTTTTAAAAGTTGATTGAGATAGAATGACAAATTAAACAGTGCTATTCTTTCAAATATCTGAAGTTGCTCTCCCACGATTTTCTTAATTCCTTAAAAA